ACACACTTGTTAAGGCTTTCCCAGAATGACTGTTTTTGTGGGCATTTCCTTCAGTACGGGTCCAACTAAGTCCCTTATAAAATCAGTGGAAATCTTCCTAGTGTCCTCATAGAAAGCATCGGGGATCTTTAATGGAAATCCCTAACCAAAAGCTATTGCTACACAAGTGAAAACACACACATGCTCTTTGGTCAATGTAGGAACAGTTCATAGGAATAAAAAACGCATAGAGAGGACCAAACTCACCACTGTTATCAGCTCCTCTGAGTCCATTGATTTAAAGGAATGTTTGTCCTTTCACTCCAACCCGACTAAATCTCCTGGCCAAACTCTTTTGAAAGCTTCAAGCGTATCTAGTCACACGACTCGGGACTTGCTAGATTAGCTGCTTGCACCAATTTGAGTGACCCAGTGGCCACATGTTCACTAATCACCAGGGCCTGCTGGAACACGGTGGCTGCTTCTCCAGGCAAACAGGCAGTGAAGGCTGCAAGTCAAATCCACTTCAGCTGCACAGAGCAACTCGTATGCCATTTTTGGAATATATAGCTCTATAAATCTCAGTATGGCCTTTTGAACTGTATATTACTGTAGAACTGTGGGAAACCCCTTTTGGGAGAAAAGTGGCACAGTTGATATTTATCACTACAAAGTCTATTGCAACACACTGTCTCTTTCCTTTGAAATAAAAGCTTTTGAATTACAGATGATCAAATATATTCACACCCCAAGCGAAACCAGAATATTTCTGGCTTTGTGCCAGTATCGGCTTGGGTGTGAAATATTTGACATTTTGCATTAATTTTTTAAAGTAATAAGAGCAGTTTCTCAGCTGAAATCTCCTTTGCCATCTAGCAAGGAGAAGTGGGCTTGCAGGTAGCTTAAAGGCACACAGGTGAATCCATAGGTCCCATGACTGGAGGGGACAGCAGTCCTGGGCACAGTGCTTCATGAGTGCTTGGAGCTGCCACCCTCCCCACCTCTCACACAGCTCCCCAGATTAGCAACAAGCAATATAACATCCAGAGACGACAATAMCAATAACATAATAAGATGGCATTTGTTCTCCAACATAACTAAGGAATGAAATGCCAATTGGTTAATAGACTGGGGAGGCAATATGTTCAATAGGCACTAAAAAGCATTATAAAAGCAAAATAACCAGCCACACCACCCATGTTGGATGCTTGGTATTAATAAAGGTGATTACACTGATCTATGCATGTGCCCAGTGAAACAAGGCTGCTCTGCTGCCTGTGGCTGGGTTAGCACTGACAAGGGCATCTTACCTCAGTGTTTCCCAAATCTCTATAGCTCTGCAWCTTGAACACTGCATTAACTTATCTTTTTCTTTCCTTTATTGATATTTCTCTCCTTTGAGGAAGGAAGCACAAGATTTTAACAAACCAAGGAAGACGCTGTTAACCTTGTTAGAGGGATCAGTCACTCGGCGAGTTCAGGGTTCATCTCTAACACTTGCAGTCACTTCAGTGTTGCTGCTCCCATGGCTCTTTCCTCCAGGTCCACAGTGCCAGACAAGGGGAAGGTTTCCTTTCTCCCAGGAAAGCAGGAGCCACCTGTTAAACTCTGCTCGTGCACAGGATGGCGAGCAGAGGTGCAGTGGATCATGCACATTTCAGATGGCTGAGCTGCCTGGTGCCCTCGAGCCCTCACCTGGGACTAGATCTCAGCCTAGTACTCACCAGGTGGTGGCACCTTTCTCTCTCTCAGTAGGAGCTGCCAAGGGCTCAACCAAAATGTCTTAGTGATAAGGGTTAATTTTGAGATGTTTAGAAGCTCTGTCTTAACAGAGGAAAATAATTGGTTTGGGCCTTTTTACAGACCCAGAATTCCATCAGGAGACCAAGTCCTTCAAGTTCTGCAGATAATGGGAGCTTCCCTTAGAGCAAAAGGAAGGAGCACAAATCTCTCTTCCTACTACCATATAGTCCCTTCTAGCATTTGATTCATTTCCAAGGAAAGGTCTGTTCCTGGGAATTTCCTGTGACAGAAAAAAGTCTGCAGTCCATAAATGGACAGTTCAGATGTGGGGTTTACACTCTCACCTTGTGCTCAGTTGAGAACGGCCACCTTAGGCCTGATTCACAAAGATGTCAAGGCCTGATACAGACCGGAATCCAAGGCCCTTGTGTTATTTAAGCCTCTAAATCCCTGATTTGAACAGAAGTTTTGTGCTTAAATCCTTTCTGGACAGCTATCCTCTTCTGTAAGTACTTATAAGTCACTGTGAACTAGGACTGGTTTCAAGATTTTCAGATGTTCTCTTTCTTGAAAGGGGAAAATAACTGGTTTTGGCCTCTTTACACAGGGAAAAACTGCATCATGAGACCAGCTCCTCCAAGCTCTCCAAATGATGAGAACTACACTTACCTCAAGTGGTCACYGTGAACAACAGGACCAAAATCTGCAAAAGTTTTACCGTTGGGGACTACCAAACAGCCACCTAATTCTGTTTTACAAATATATTCCTGGCCTTATCCCTTAAAAGTGTTTAATTACATGTGAAGTGATCTACATAAGCATCTGCTGGCCAGCAGACTTTCTTGCATTTATGATGTTAAGGGCTGGGATGTGTGACCCAGTGGACAGGAAATGAGGCACCAAAAAAAAGAGTTTCCTTCTTTCTGCCTTGTGTAGAAGCAGGATAAAGAAAACAGTCAGGGGGAAGGTGGAGGAAGGCAGGAGGTGGGAACAAGGCTGGTGGTTGCACTTCTCTGCCACAGCTTTGACCAGCTGCCCCTTCCAGACACCTTCGTCTCGCACGGGTGGAGGACACGCGGGGAGATCTGTGGCCGCCACCTCCAGGCACACGGGCCACGCAAGTGGGAACAAAAGGCCCCACGCAGCCTGCGGCCGCCCCACTCTGCCCAAAATGCTGAAAGCTGCTTTTTTTAGGAGACAATTTACGGAAAAATAAAAAAGTTTACAAACTGCTTTACGAGACAGTTAAATGGTTCTTGAGGGGGGGTCTTTATAATTGAATTATAAGAACAAAAGAAATCTGAGGAGCAGGCAGAGGCCTTAAGGCCCAACATGCTTGACCTCATTTGGTTTAATTGCACTGCTGGCTCTCTCGCTATAACCTTCACTTGGAGAACAGTCTCTGGAAATCATTTAAACTCTTTGCTTCAGTTGCTTTTGTTAGTGATTTAGTCAATAATGTTATTACCTCTTTGGTAAGATAGCTCTGAGTGCCCCAGCCTTTAATTAAAAGCCTCTTAGTTTTGAAACTTTGAGCAATACGAACATATCTATCCAAGATCTGTATCAGAACCTCCCATAAATTTTATAGCTTYCTCCTGGTCATCCCAAAGATGCTGTTTTCCATTGTGAATAAAGCCAGGCCCCTTGGCACTGTCACTGTGTCCCATGTGCAGGGCAGAGCTGGAAGGAGCCACAGACTCACTGAGGTCACCGTGCGGTGCCAGGGGCCGGGCAGCCAGGACGGGTCTGCAAGGAGGCCAAACGGGGCCAGCAGAGGTGCTGCCAGAGCCCCGCACCAGGGCTTGGTCCTGACAGCAGCACCTCTTCCTTCAGGACTCTACCCCAGAGCAATTTTGCCTTTAGCAAACATTTTGTCATCAATATAGCAAGCATTCTGCCTTTGCAGGTGCTAGTGGTAGTTTCCGTGACTCCAGTGCCCCAACTCCTCAAGTTATTTTTTTTTCCTCCCCTCCTCATTGCTAAATTTTGAGAAAGCCCCTCCTGAAAGGCTTTAGACCAACATTGTATGTCTGCTCCCCCTTTAGTTTCTTTAATTTTAAAGGTTGCAGCTGTTTTTAACAGGTTCTKATTTGTAAGGATAACCATTTTATCATCAGACTTCTGTTCAACCAGCAATTCCCCTAAACACCACCTTCATTCCCAGCTCCAGTGCGAAGTGCACATGTGTGCAGTCATTACCCCCTGAACAAAACCGTACCTTTCAGATTACCGCAAGGGGAGTAAGGAACAGCAATGAAATAGGCACCACTAAAACATACTGGGCAACCCCACTTGTTGCACCCGGTTGCCCTGCTCCTCAGGAAGCTCCCTGTCAGGTTTGCCTGGGCTGGAAGAAGGCTCCCCACACCTTCCTCCCCAGAGCACATTCAGGAATCCATCTCCAACCTCAAAGTGCAGTCTGGTCTCACACCTGAGCATTACTGCCAGTCCCAACACCRTCCTCTAGCCCTGGGCTAAGTCACAACCTTTCTGCCTCACTTTCCCATTCTGCAGAATTAGRGTAATTGTGCTGGACAACTCGGGGGTGGGGGTTCAGGGAGTTTAATGAGCTCTTTGTAAAGTGCTTAGAATAAGAATACTGCTATGGAGAATAAGTGCTAACTATCAATTATTAAGTGGGAGTCAGGTTTCAGGAGTGCTCTAACAGGGAAAGGTTAAGCAAGTGTAATAGCAGAAGACATGTAATGAAGCCCAGCACTGCCCTGTAGCACTGGCTATGAAAAACTAATATCCCCAGTAAAAATTCCAGCTCTGTGGCCTATGCAGAGTATTTTGCTCTGCWTCTCTAATGATGACACTTAGAATTAGACCGACATAACCTAGAGAGCTCTGGGGACTCATCATCTCTGAGATTTCACTTAATTATTGGCAAACTCTGTCATTTAGTATCCCGAGCAGGCTATGCTATGTATAACCAACACATCTAATTTGATTTCATCTTGAATTGCTCCTATGAGTGGTCTTGAATGGAAGCGCATCTGGTATCTTGGCAACGTCTCTTCTCTTGGAGAGAGCTGTCCTTGAATCTATAAAATGGATCTCTTATGGCAGCAGGGGGGGATGCATGTGTATGGGGGGGAAACCCTTTGAGAATGCACAAAGGGAGCCTTTGCTTATGTGCACAGTTCATGTGTTTAGGCTTTTAATATTTTTTTCCCCCCTCAGATAAAATATATCCATGAATCTTTGCGCTTTTTTTTTTTTTTTAACTAGGGCAGTGGATTTAAGAAGCACTCAGGCTACCTCATCTTTAATTAGAGCTTTCAGGAAGGAATTGTTTGTTGGCTGGACAAAACATTATAGCTTTCCCCTCATGGTCCTATGCAATTAGGGGGCTGAGTGGGGGATCAAGTGTACATTTCAAGGGGAGAAAAAAACATAAATACATCAGAAACCAATTTTTATAACCTGGTAAGATTCAGACTTTTGGCGTAGAGCTGCAAGGATCACTCAGCTTCTCACAAACCCAAGACTTCTACATCTACTTTGCTCTTCCACCCCGCAGCTGGAAGAGCCCAGCTCCATTTTCACATATAACCTAAAAGTGGGAGACAACTGGCAACTTGTTACATGTTTCCATGTTTTGGATCCAGTGTTTCACATGGTGATGAGCCCAGGTGAATTAGCAAGAGGCTGATTCCAAAGCAGAGATGTTCCTTCCACTGCTGTCATTCTGCATGGGAAAAATGTTCAAATAGAGCATTACATTTACACATGYAACATTATTTCAGAATCTTCTTTAATTTCTACTGCTCCCTGATGAAATACTGCTCTTTTGAWCTACAAGAACTTCACCTGCCACTTAAAACTTGTCACTCCTTTTTGTCCAATAGACTTTAAATCACTGTAGTTAGTTCAGATAGCACTGCATCATACTAGTCAATACGAATTAATCCTGCAAAGCTGAAAGTACAAGAATTCTTTTATTCTCTCTGGAAACAGAGATAGAGGATCTTATTACATGGGTAAAATGAACAATAATGGAGAGTCCACTCCCTTTGCATCACAAGTTGCACATACTTAGGAGTCATGCTTTAAAAGGATGGCTCTTCCAGCTCTGAAAGACAGAGGGACATCAGGGAAGCTCAGGAAGCAAAACAAGCTACAAACAGGTTTATTTTATGACATACAGTTCATCAACTATATGACTTTTTGGTCTTTTCTTGATTATTTCCTGATTACGAAAGGAAAATTTTTAGTGAGTCAGGAACATTATYAACTATTTAGAGAGTCAAGAACATTATCAGCTATTTGATATTGGATTAGCTATTTGTCTATTTGACAAACCAATACTCATAGAACTATATTTTTTCCTTCCAAGGGAAGCACCAGTCTTCCCCTATTCAAGAAGAACGCTGTGGCATCTTTTGCATGACAGCTATTTTACCAAAGCCAGCATGGCCCATGCTGCCCATGCACAACAGCTACCATCCATTTACTTCTTTACTCTTCTTTCCCAATTCCCTTAAGCAGACCGAAGCCCCAGTTACACATACAYTTGAGAAAGGACTGAGTGGTCAACGCACATTCATTCCAATAAAATGCTGAGTACTTCCTGCAAGTACAGGATATGAATCACTTAATGTGAAGATGACCACAGAGCATCACCACTACAAAGCCACACCAGCATTGTGCAGCCTGCAGAGCAGCTGTGGCAGCGTGTTACCCTGCACATTTCAACACACACAGCCAAAGAGGTAGATTTTTGCAGTCCTCCCCTGGACGCACAGGAGTTAAYCATCAAAAAGTGCAACCTTTGATTGGTATTTTCTTCTGCAATGATATCCCTCACTTACAAGGCTTCTTTATGACTTTTTCCTCCCAATAACAGTCAGCTTTGAAGTACAGAACAGYTAATCCCATTTGCTATCTGCACTGTAGGTATGAAAGAATTCTGTGACTCCCAAACAGACTGAGAAAAATGAAGTTAACATCATGATATCCCAGGTCATTAATAAGGGCAGTAATGTTTGGAGATGGTGAGATTGCTGGGAGAGCTCTAGGGACCCTGCTTGGGGATGGTCCCTGCACTTGGAATGCTACACAGAGTCGTCTTCATCAGGGGTCTTTCTCCAATTTAAAAAATAAAACTTTTTTTTTGGTTGCTTTTAAATTTAAACCAGTGTGGTGACACAGTGCAATGAACATGTGTTTTTTAAAAAAGCCAAGACAACCCTTTGATTAAAAAAGACTGATGACTGCCAGACCAGACAGTGATCACTCAAGGTCTCTTCCAGATATGAGGCTCTATAATCTGGCACTGCTCTGGGAAAGTCTCTGCCCCTTTTTTCTTTTTAATCCATTTAGTTGCATTGTTTCCAGCTTACGCAAAGCAGTGGAGCCACAGAGAAGCCAAAGAATTAAAGGGATCAATGATCAAGTCTGTGCAGAAATCATAATGTTTGTTTCCAAATGTATAACTAAGAAGTACAATTGTCTAGGGACTATTGAGCTTGAGGTCTATGCCACAATAATTTCTCTATAGAGGATTTCTTTCTCTAAAGGCCTTGGCATCTAATCTTTCCAAGAAATACTCAAGCAATTAGTTTTGAATTTAGAGGTCCTTCAACCTTCCTCACGGAACGCTCATACTTCCATCTCCTCACTTATCAGTGTGGAGATCACTTGCCCACACCTTCCCAGGCTCCACAAGGAAGGTGCCTGTTGCTGCTCTGTTCTCCAGGCCAGTGTTCTCATCACTTATTTCAGAAAAGCTTTTAGAGTCACAGATGCAGCAAACACATGTGCAGAGGTGGGGAAAGGAACTGGGGACAGGTTTCACTTGTAGGAAGATAGAATGGATGGGAGAAGGAGACCCAAACCAGGCTGGCTCCATGATAAACTGGAACACAACCTGAAGTTCATGAAAACTCCTGTGGGAGGATTAAAAGGAAAGTGCTCCTAACAATATTGGATATTCTCTCTGTATCCGGGAAAAATCCACTGCAAAGCACAGCTACTGTTTATACAGACRGCCCCTTCCAAAATTTACAAGTATTTGGAGAAACTAAGCCCAGCAATCCCCTAAGGACAGATCACACCACTAAGTGCTGGACGCTGCTGATGTTACTTGGGTCACAACGATGAGCTGAGAACACAGGGCAAAAAATCACGGTCCTAATACCTACTTGATCTCCAGTAGGCTCCACTCCTCCATTTCATTTTTGGTATAAATCTGCTCTCCATGCCATACCCTTTTGTGAGAGGCAGGAACCTGGAGCTAAATAGATTCTCTCTCTCTCTCTCTCTCTGTACATATACATACATATAGCAAGAGAAGTTAGTGCTAAAGAGCCTGGGAGGTGCAAGCAGGCAGATGGGTGTGGGAAGGCAGCACTTTTGAGCTCAGTTTGAGTAAGATCAAGACCTGTCCCCATGAGTAGGACCATGCTGTGAGATGGAATCTACATCCCACCCTGCTAGTTTTATGCCTGCAACAAGAACCAACAACCTTCTCTTCAAGCCACCAGCAGGAAAGGTGTCAGAAATGAAACAAACCCCAACTGGTGCTGGAGGAATAAAGGTACCAGAAGTCAGCTCTTGACATGCTCCCTTGGATTCAGGTTCTAGTCACAAACACCAATTCCTAAGGAAGGGTTTGATTCTCTTTCAAGAGACAGCAACRTCTATTGCACCAGTACATTGAATTACGGCCCAGCATCTCTGCGCAAAGGCTTGTCCATCTTTGCTGGGGGTTTAAGTTCTCAAGTTTTGAATTCTTGCCCATGGCTCAAGGAAATAAACCTGATTTAGTGACTCAAGTTATTGTAGGAGACACAGGCAGATTGCAAACAAGGGGCTAGTTCCYGGTCCTGTTGACGACAGAGTTGAAACACCAGGGCTCATTCCCAAATCTGCTGTAGGTTTCGGGGACAAAGAATGAAGTAAGAGCCAGCTGTAGGGCCAAAGYGAGCACTGACTTGCTATCAGGTCTTGGTGATTACCACTGAGGGGAGAAACACGGCTTGTAAAAAAGTTATAAGAGGATAACTGCACCTTCTCCTTCATGAAATGGAGCAAATTCCAGAGTGTTTCTTCCTCTGCCATTTGCTTCAGCTTCATTTCACATGCCGTCTCGCACAACCGCCTCCAGGGAGTCTTAGGGAAAAAAAAAATTTCACCTTCTATGCCCAATTCTTGCCTTACTGCAARAAAATTATTTGCTGCTTTCCTAACAAACTGCTTCAGTTGTCACTGTAGTTAAGGTTATGTCAACACTTCTATTATAAACTCCTCTTGTTAGGAATTTACAAGTTGGCTGTAAAAATTCCCTTTGCACTTAATTTTGGCATAGATGGCAAAAATCCCAGGAGCACATAAAAAAAGACTACAACATTTATGCATTAGATTTTAACACATTCCAAGAATAGAAGTTTTCACTGTTAAGGCAGACACTGTATCATGAAATAATGACCTAAAACAGTAGTTTTAGTCAGTGTGTGAATCCCCTGCTGAAATAAGTCACCTTGGATTGCTCTATGCTCCCATGCTGCAGACAGGGGAACATCACACCAAGGGGCACAACAGGAATAAGAACAAAAATCTCCTGGGAAAAAGAAAAAAAACTTATCTATTCATAGTACAATTAAAATGCAAACTGTCCTTTTTATTGAGGGATACATCCTGCCTTTCATATCTAAAAGCAGAGATTAATGTATGAATGTTTCAGGGTAGTTGAGGAAGGATTATTTTCCTCTGTCTAATGTATTTATCTCACCTTCATCCTCATCTGAGCCCCTCAATCATCAGCACATTTAGCTTTTCTGGGGCATTACTGTTGTTTATTTTCATTTCAGAAACAGAACAGTTATATGGAGAGAGGTTAAGTGATTTGCCCAAGGTCAGAGAGGACACATCCCTGAGCTAGGAATGGAGTCATGTCCAGGCTGTGAGAGTTGCCATCCTCTTATGGCTTGCTAGGAAGTAACAGCAATTTATCAACCTCAATCTAGCTCTGAGCCTGAAATTCCTTCTCTTCCCGAGGACTGTTTAGCAGGATTTAATAGTTACTAGTGTCACTATATCCCTCTGCTTCCAGTCTTGCCTTCCAACAGCTCTTGAAGGATCTGAGGATGCTGAGAAAGGCTGGGTTTGCTTCTTGCACAGGCTTCCCAAACACTTTGTACGTGGGAAGTTGGCTTACCTGCTGAAACGGAGACATGCAAAGATGAGCACTTTGTTTTCATCCATTGAAACTGAGTACATGGCATTAGCTAAATTGTGTGTCTGTTGAGGGGGAAAAAGTATGACAGCTGGGAAAGGAAAATATAAGATGCAGACGAGACCTAAGTATTGTCAAATCAGTCTTTGTTCATTCGAATGTTTCAGGAAATCAACAGCCAAAAGCAAGTAAAAATAACTCAGTCAGAACTAAAGCTGCTTCTGTAAAAAACACATTTTTGAAAGTAAGATTCCAGCTCTGCAAACTCTCCCATGTGTTTAACGCAGGCAAGGCACTGCACCCATGCACACAGTTTACCTTTGTCAAGTTATGCCCAGGTTTGCAGCACTACAAGCTGCATTTTAAAATAAAACTTWGGTCTACAACTTTTACCTTCCTTTACAAGGGCTGACAGTAACATTGCTTATTTTAGAGACAGCTTATGGATATGATGAACAAGGAGTAACCCTGAGACCACGCAGAACCAGTGTGGAACCTAGAAAGGTCTTGTCCTCTTGAACCTCATGTCTTGAGGCAAAACTGCCGAATTCTGCATGACAGGACCAGGCCCAAGAAGCACAAAAGGAATTTACAAAGAAGGATTTTCTGTAATGTGGTCCATTGACTTTTGATAATAAAAAACATATTGTAAATGGCCAAGAAATTAATCTTTAAAAGACAGCTGTAGCCCATGTGTATTAACTACTTTTTCAAAGACATTTCCTCTGAATTTTTGTTATCCTCCTTACTACATGTTTCCAGCCAACAGAGATATTGTTATGCTCTGTAGGCAAAATATAATATGCATTTTCAAAACATCTATAAATATGTATTCACCCTATGGATTCACATGGCGCTGTAGGAGCTCTGTTCTGGTCTGCCTTCAAATGAAGACAGTCTTTAAAAAATAATTACAAATATACTAAGGTGCATGTTCAACACAATGCACGGGGATTTAGCCACATCAATTTCATTAGTGCTAATGAGAGGTGTGCAGTTAAGGCCCTGAATATCAAGGCATCATGCATAAAGAAGAGCCTGTCTAATGAGGTATTTGCAAATTAAACCAGAACAGCTCTGAAGGGCATGCATGTTTATCTATTYCTATTTTCATTTATTCTTTTTTCAAATGAAAAGAAAGTGCCCTCACATGCCTCTATACACCACAGAATTGGAAAAAAATAAATTTGGATATATTTATATAGTGAAAAATCCACTTAGATGATTCTTTAGCTATATATACACTTGTTACAACTGGCAAGACTAAAATGCCCCTTGAGGAGGCAAGCCAGAAACACGCAAACAACCTGATGTGGTGGCCTGTCACCTCTGTGGGAGAATACATAGGTGTAATGATAAAGGTAGCGATGGCAGCGCGTTTTGGTAGCCCTGAGACTGCAATACTCAGTCCTCAGAGCTGGGAAATTCACAGTTCACCCTCTTCGTTTTCTCAGCTCATTCTTTCTCTTTCACCTCTACAAAACTTCTTCCCTTTCCGGGGAGCAGGGCAAGGAGAGGGCAGAGCCTCTGCTGGGACAGCCTCATTTTCAGCACACGCAGACTCACGAGCTGGAGGCCTTTCCAGCAACTTTCCCAGTTGCTGGACACCATGAGGACACTTCTCAGAGGCAGCCACCTGCAGCACTCACCAGTCTCTCCCCCACGGATCAGATCCCGCCGCTCCAATGCCCTGTATGGGTGTCACCCCCGGCACCATCCCAGGGCAGCCAGGAAAGGGGATTTACAACCCCGGGCGCCATCACCAGCTCCTAGCAACCCCCCTAGCAACACGGGCAGCCAGATGCACCACGCGCCTTTGTTCAGGCCGAGGTTGACCCTCGGGACTAGCAGCTAACGGCAGCACGGCCTTGGCAGCCGAGCTGAACGGGAGAGTCTCCAGATGGGCACCTACGGCTCTGCCTGCGCTGCCAGGGCACCCAGACCACCCGTGCACGGCTCTGCTTCTGGACACACTGTGCATGGACACCCTCGGCAGCGCCATCCCGCCTGGCTGCGGGCCTTGYGGCTTGCACGCCACAGCTGGGAGACCAGAAACGCCCCAAATGGGAGAAGGGCGAACACAGAAAGCAGCCCTGCCAATCAGGAGCAGCAACACAGAGGTCTCAGGTGGCTGCTGTGGCTCATGGACGCATGGGGACTCCCACAGTGCAGAGCTCCAGCTCGCTTGGGAAACACAAAGTTACAGGCAGCATTTTGYCACAAAGAGAAAATGAAATGGTGACAACTGCATCCCCCCTCCTTCCTTCTCACTGTCCCTGCAATGCCAGGTCCTGACACACACACCACACACAGTATCCCCTCTGCATGCACTGCCACTACAGGGAGTTGGACCCAGCCTGCTTTAAGGTTCTGCTTTCCAACCATAGTCCTACATTTCCTCTGTTTACAACCAAATATCACTSAAAACATCTTGACAATTATGCTTAAATGGTAACAGAGAAAGAAGGAAGTGGGAAGCATGGGAAGTGTCATGGATCTGGTCCTGGGTGGGCAGCACTGGCTCAGGGTGCAGTGCCACAGATCATCTGGTGCAGAACTTGAGCCCTGTTCAGTTTTGCTTCACAACACAGGAACTGCCAGGCTTGGCCTATGTGCATCCTTGCCCATTTCAGCTCAAAATCAACCTGCAGTGACAAAACATCAGGGACACATCACCTCCCTGCTGCCTGCTGGCTCTCAGCTACTCACATTGCAGCTCTCCTCATCCTGCTTAGGGTTCCAGATAAATGGGCAATTACATTGCACTGGAACCTGCATATTTAAAAGAAAAAATGCCTGTCCATATACATTTTCTGTGTCAGGTATGGACATGTGCACATTTATACATACACATATATGTATATTAGAAAGGAGACTTTCATGACTTTTAACACTATTCATTTTGTGACTTTTTTGTCCCCTTTATGTAACACTTTACATGACTTTTAGTTTATAACTGCACTTGAGAGTGGCCACAAGCCACAAACACTCATGGCCAACACAAAGGCCCAGACAGAACAGAGCTAGTTCCCTCCTACAGTGACCACAGTCCTGATTTTGGTGACACAGAGGGCAGCAATTCACCTTATATAGGCCCATAGTCTGAGTTTCATCGGTGTTTGGCATCAGTCCATTAAAGCCATTTCTCTTTTTCAGCAGCAACCATGACAAATTCAAAGACATTGCATAAACTACACCGAAACTCAGTCTTTGGTACACTTCTTAAGTTACAAGCTCTGGAAAACAGAGGAGTAGGTGAGATCACTCAGCTTTTGGTGCCACTTTATGCATTTCAGACCCTGTCAAGATATTTCCAGCTGGGTTTTTGGACCCTTTGAGCTTTCCCCATGGCCTTTGGCAGAGGTGCATGTGCCTGCATGGCAAGGGACAGGGGCACATGATGAATGAAGTGGCTCACACGCCTCCTCTCCCCATTCAGGTAGCTCTGCTGAGATTCCCCAAAACAAAGGCCAAATCAACTGCAATTTCCCCTCTCCAAAAGGCTTCGCAGCCCCAGTTGCCCAACCCCTCCACAGCTGCCCCAGGAGCAGATGCAAAAGGGTGGAGGACAGGAAGAAATCAGGAAAACGGRCAAGTTCTTACAAGCCATGTAAGCCACTTCTCCATGCATTTCCTGCTAAGTGTCTTTGCAAATAACAAATAATCTTTCTCTAGCCCTAGCCTTCCTGAACCTAGCTTTTCCCTTTGGTATCCAGGGCAAAGGGACAAGGACAGCCCGCTATAAGAAGGGGGAGCTCCTTCTCCATCTCATTTCCTTCCCTCCTTTCAAATACTTTTCCTGAAGGAAGAAAGAGGGTCCTGGGTGAAGCTACTCCTCCATGGAGGACTGCCAGACCACAAGTAGTCACTCTTGCCTATGAGTCTTTCCCTCAGCACATTTATCTGCCAATCTGTGCAACATAAGGTGCAATATAAGCCAGCAAAAAAATAACTGAGAAGCAGCTCATTTCCTCCTCCTTCCTCATCACAGGACACCTCCTCACAAAGCCACCATTGCAGGTGATACCCGCTCTCCTTAGCGTCACCTCCAGCTCTAGCTGTTCTGCTGCTGCCATTTCAGCCTTCAGCAAAAGAGCCCGGCGTAATGAGTAACCTAGGGCAGATGCAATGGAAATCAGACACCAGGAAAACAACTGGACACATCTGCTCAATAAATAATAATCAGCAGGGTAGTTCTTCATTTTCTTAGTTCTGAAATTGAGTAATTGAGGCAGAGTCCAGAATCAGTCACAGCTGCTTAGAACAGGAGATAAAAGAAACTTCCATGAGGGTTTCAAGGATCAGGCAATACATCTAGATGACACAACTACATGGATCCTACATGGATCT